TTTCAATCTTCCTACTTTCACTTTGGGAGATATACTCCTAGAGACTGATGGAAGAGATCTTCATGACAGTGTTTATTACATGGCTTTGGGAATTCTTTTCTATTTTAACTGACTATTCCACTAGAAAATGAAACCCTGAAAGCCTAGGAATATGTATTTTTCATGTTGGTGATACTAAAAGCTTCTATAATGAAGGAAATATAGTAGGAGTTCTTTTGGAAGAAGAAGTGAATGATGAATAGACTAAAGGAAAGGTAAACAGTAGGTAGGCATGATGTGGAACAGAGCTCCAGTGACCTAAATATTATATGCAGCATTGATAAAAATATAAGCCTTTGCTGTTTGAAGACACTGAGAGTTTGGGACCACTTGTTATTACAGCATAACCAACGTCATTCTTACTTATACAGATTTTCACAGGCTATTGAGATAATCAAATGAAACGTTTTTAAACTGAATTTTCAAATCTTCATGGGCTTGAAGCTGCTGAGTTTAGAAATGGAAAAGGCATGCAAATCTTCTACTTTGAATATAGCAATAGCACTACGAAATGCATCACTAAGAGAAGCCTCAGCCTCAACAACTCTCTTAATAGAGGAGGTACTTACAGTTTTGATGGAAGAGAAAATGTGTGTATGAATGTATATGTGTGTGTGTGTGTGTGTGTGTGTGTGTGTGTGTGTGTGTGTGTTTGTAGCATATCTGAAAGTGCAGACCAAAGGAGGAGTGGGTATGCAGTGCTGGCTCTCAGGACTCTACAGGGTGTGACTCCCATGGCAGAGGGAGTTAGCAAAGGGAGAGAACAGCTGGAGCCCCAGGAAACAGGGAAGTGCACTCTAGAGAAATCTTAAACATGGAGGCTAGAGAATGCTGAATTTCTAAAAACTCTGAGACACACCTAAAACATCTTACTCTTGCTCTTCTTGTTGTAATTATCTGATACGAAGTTGTATCACAGTATGAAAACATGCATTTTTTTTCTCTTTTCAAGGGTATCTTGGTTATTTTTCTCTCATTGCTGAGACAAAATACCCAACACCCAAAATGAAGGAAGGGAAGGCTTGTGTAGCTTACAGATTGTGGAGGTTTCAGTCCATACTCGGCTGGCACCAAGGCAGAGTGGCACATGGCAGAGGGCAAACATTCATGGCAGCGAAAGGTAGCAAAACAACAAGAGTAAAGCGGGAAGCAACAAGCCTCTTTCCCTCCCTTACATTGTAAGCAGGCTACCCTCACTCAGAGGGCATGTAGCACTCACATAATCTCCATGCCCTCACCTTGCACAGGCTCAGGATGAATACAAAGTAAGCACCCTGGCTCCCTGCTGAGTCACATAGTTAACTTTCTACACTTCTCAAACTGACACAATGAACAACATCCCAGAAGGGTAAGGGCATGTCCTTTTCACCCTAAGATGCAGAACTGCTGAGTCACTTAGCCAAACCTCTAGACTCCCCAAGTTGACACAAAGTATCAACCATAACAAAAGTGTATGTCATCAAAAGAATAAGGCTTAACACAGTTCTTGGCACATAGTAAGGACTCAACACATGTCTCTTGATTGAATATATAAATAGATGATTGGGTTTTTGAATCCCAGCTGTCTATTCCTGTGTGACCTTGTGAAGGCTACTAACCATCTCTATGGTTCAGTCTCTACATCTTAGCATATTTTGCTTTTAAGTGTGGCACACACTTCACATGCGGTTGTTCAATAAAAGGAAGATTCTAGCATTTTCCCATATTGTAGCATGGCTGTCAAAATGATCAGAGTTAATACTCTTCATGATGTGAGTGTACACTCTTCACATGGAGGGAGTTTTCTAATTTATCACTGTCCCCAGGACTATGCTAATAAACATTTGCCCACAGCTTCTTCCTGTTGTTGGTATTTTCATTAGGATCGACTTCAAAGTTTGGCTTCACTGAGTCAAAGGGAGTGAACACATCCAAAGAAGGATCAGCCTGAGAGGGGGACACAGGAGGCAGAATGAAGCCTAATTATAAGGACCCTAATTCAGCTGATGAACTTAGATTAGATCAAAAGATCTGCTTAGGCTTGTTGGTAGATTCTGTGTAGCAAAGTTGTTTTCCAGTGAAAACTTTCCAGGTTTTAAATTAACCTCGTCTTCATCTCACGGTTCTTCCCACCTTCCAGACTTACCACCATCACCTCTGGGGCGACTTCAATGCCTTATTAGCGAATGATACCATCTAGGGTGGTGTGGCTGGCTGGGATGCTGGTTAATCATTTCCTGTGCAGTGTGTGGGCCTGTTCTTGCCTCTCAGATGTGCTCGGTTCCTTTGCACATCTTTCTACTCAAGCTTTTCTATGTGTTTTTCTACTCGAGCTTTTCTATGTGTTTTGTCATCTAAATTAGGGAGCCTGATTTCAAGTTACAGTAAAAAAAGGTAAAATCCAGAATGCTCCAGCAGTAATAGATGATGTTTCTAAGAGTGAGATGGAAGCACACAGAACTCTTCTTGGAACCAAATGTGTGTGCATGCTGGCACACATGTGTTTTTATCCAGATTTTTACTCCCCAGTATGTTCACTTTGTTTAACAATAATTCAAGATGAAAAGCAAACTCGTGATCTACTTTCTCATATTTATTCTTTAACTCAGAGAATGGTGCCACCACAGATGTCACAAGGCAAAGTAGAGACCAAGGAACCATTCTTGATGCCCCTTTTCTTTCGGCACCCTCATCACCTCCAGTCTATTTAGTGCTGTCATCTCTCAACTCCAAACCCACCCCCGTGTCAGTCTGCATTTCTCAGTCTCCACTGCCATACACTGGCCCAAGTCACCACCATTTTGCCTGGACTCCTTGGTAACGGAGGTTCCTATTGTCTCATGTGCTGCCCAGGTAGATCCCCCTCAAAGAAAAGACCCGGTGCCCCCCTGTGGGAAGTAGAGATCAGACAGTCTTCAGCTGTTAACTCCTGCACAGCCTCCCAGCTGCAGACAGCCACCTCCCCCGGGTTCACACTCTTCCTGGGGGTATCCTGTACCAGGTGACAGAGGGGGAATTTAAAAACCTGTTCACACCAACCAGTTGTGGTACAAGTGTAACTGTCAGGCTCCCCTGGCTCCCAGCTGGTTTGCCAAGGCACCAGCAGCTAAGGGTCTATCTAATGCCTGCACTTGAGGATCCCAGCCAATGCCACCTCTCATCCATCTCCACCTTTCCTGCCTATGGCAGCCATGGTGATCTTTCCTCCACTCGAGTGAAACAGTGTCATTTCCTTGCTTCCAAACCTCAGTGCTGCCCAACTGCTTCAAAGCTAAAGAACAAAACCTTGAACATGGGTGATCTGGTTCTTCCCGTCCTTCCTTTCCTATCTCACTCAGTCACATCAATTCTATTAGATTCTTCGGGTTGCAGTTATAAAGTTCACAAACTAGGTGGCAAAAATGACAGAGATTTATTGTCTCACAACTATGGAGGCTGAAGATTGGCAACTAAAGTGTTGCAGAGCCAAGCTTCTCTGAAATCTATGGGAAATCCTTCCTGGTGACCTTCTAGCCTTTAGTAGTTTACCTGCAGTCCTTGGCATTCCCTGGTTTGTAGGTACGTGGTTTCCATCTTCCACCATCACATGCCATTCTCTGTATTTCGGTGTTCACGTGACTTTCTTCTCATGACATCAGCTGTCATATTGGATTTGAGGCCCGTCCTACTCCAGCATATCACATCTTAATCACATCTTTGATGACCCTATTTGCAAATAAGGCCCGGGCTGTGGTTTGAGTGTGTTCTCCAAAGGCTTGTGTATTGCAAGCTTGGTCCTCACTGTCATAGTATTGAAAGGTAGCAAGAGCCTTAAAAGGTGAGGCCTAGAGAGAGATCATTACTGGCCTCTCTCTACCTCTGTCTAGTTTTGTTTGCTACGTGATCTTTCCCTTCTCTCTCTCTCTCTTTCTCTCTCTCTCTCTTTCTTCTTCTTTCTCTCTCTCCTTTTTTCTCTTTCTCTCTCTTCCTCTTTCTCTCTCTTTCTCTCCTGACATTCTGCCATTGTGATATCATCCTCCATGAGGTCCTTACCAGAACCAAGTTGATACCAGCACCATGTCATTAAGTCTTCAGAACTGTGAACAAAAGAACCTTTTTTAAATACTATACCCAGCCTTAGGTATGTTGTTACAGTAGTGAGAAACAGACTGATGCTGTCATATTCTGAAGTACAAGGGGTTAGGATTTCAATATATCTTTTTTAGAGGACATGGTTCAACCCATAACACTGGTATTCATTTGGTCCCTGAAACACACCATATTCATCTTGCATCAGGTCTTTTGTATATCCTATCCCCAACTTCTCATCCCCCCCAAACCACTTGTTCCTATCTACAGCCTCATCCTCTCAATTGCTGTTAAAAATTCATTCTCCTTAGTCAGACTTTCTATCCTGCTCCTACCTTGAGTTAAGTCAGCTCTTCCCATTCAGTGCACCCTATATTTTCTTTCTCAGTGTGTATCATCACTTGTAATTATATATTTCTGTGAAAATCTTTTACCCATGGCTGACACATGCTTGTGTGCTCCTGCACTAGTACACAAGCTCCTTAAGGGCAGAAAGGTTGTCCCTGGCACCATTGACTCCAATACTGAGCCTGGAGCCCAGCACACACTAAGAGCTTAGTAAGTAGGTATGAAATGAGCAATTTCAGAAAACTTTTATTGAACTCTTAGGTTTTATTTCTCCTTATAGTTTCAAAGTTGTGAGTGCTCTTGTTTCCAGGAGATGTAGTATTCTGTTGACCCAATCAAGACAACAAGTTACAGAGGAAATGGGGCAAGTGAGGAAAATGAGTTCCAGACAATGATTGAAGTTGATTCCCAAGATAGTCACATAAAATAGAACCTATGCCTAATAGATAGACCTGTTTTCAGCAGTTGGCTGAAATTCTTTCCTACCCAGTGAAATCAAAAAAATAAAGTATTATACAAAAAATAAAATATTGAATTTTTAATATTTATTTAGTGTTTATAAAAGTTTTCAACATTTACGTTTGGTGTATAACATCTAAAAAATAACAACAGAAATCAATTTCTATATGAACAGCAATGAGAATACTAACAAAACTCTACAACAAAAATAAACTTTGCTTCAGTTGCCACACCCAAGGGCAGTCTTCACACATGACAACTGCACACTCCATGCACATGTCTCACACTGATGGCACATGTGCTTAGGCTTCCTTTCCTATGTGGCAGGCTATTTTTGTCATCTCTTGTCTTCTTGTTTTGTCAGGAGTTTGTACAATGTGCACTTAGCAGGAAAATAAGATATCAATAAAACAAAGTGTCAAATACATAATGAATACTTAGAACAAGATAGCAATAAAATAAGATGTCAATAAAATAATATCAAATGCATAATGAGTGCTTAGAATAGACATCAACATTTTCACATCAGCTGTTCACTTTCTTACAAAACCTAAAAATCACATTACAAATAAAAACCCATACAAAGTACAATGTAAGTAAAAACAAAAATCCACTATAGAAATAATCTTTGCTTCAATTGTCACACCCAAGGCAGTCTTCACACCTGACAACTATATACTCCATACCCAAGTATCACTTACACTCATCACTTATCATAGCACATATGGTTTGTTTTCCTGTCCTTTTCTATAGGACACAGTTGACATCTTTTTTGGTTTTCCTGTTGTCATAGTAGGTCTTTGTGGTGCTGTGCCTACCTGTTCACCAGTCACCTCACCATTGTGGTCCACAATCTTTTGCATAGTTCTCTGGGCAGGAATATTTTGTTTTTCCTCTGCTGTAAATGATGTCTTATGAGTTCCATTCCAGTCTTCTAAGAAAATTTCTTCATAATATTTTTTACTTGTTATTTTTTTGTAAACTGCTAAACTATTTACACCACACATGTTTAGGATTGAGTAAACCACAACCATTGGACAATGCTTTGTGTTTCAAGTGACATCATAATTGCTGCACAACATCAACAACATCTCCTCTGTCTCTGGTATTTTTGTAGAATGTTACCATTCCAGGCTTCCATTTTTGTAGAGGTTTCCCTGTCAATATTTCCATCATGGTACAATGTTGAGATCAGTAGTACCAGTTTGTTTTTCTTTGCTGCATATGAAGCCAATGTTATACCTTCCTAAAATCCAAATATTGTGCTATACAATCCTCTGTTTTGAAATTGCAACATTTCATTTGGAATTTCTGCTTTGTTCCCACAAAGAGTTTCTATGCTGGTCCACTTGCACTCTGTTAGCAAATGTAACATCAATTGGAAACTGGTAAACCAACTCTTGAATGTCACATTCCAATTAGTTTGGGAGATGGAAGCAACAAGTCTGTCCCCAACATCGTTCGGTTTATTACTATATAAATAAGGACTTGGTGACTGAGTTCCAGGATAAATTTCTAAATTGAAAGCATAATAAGCTTTTTCATCTACATATTTTGAAGGTTTTGGGGGAATATACTGCCTGACACTACAGCAACCATGACATGCTGCAAGATGTTCATCGATAGTCAGGTATTCAAATGATGTGTAAATTGATTGACAATTACCGATAGTCAGGTATTCAGATGATGTGTAAATTGATTGACAATTACCCACAAATCTCTCAAACCATGAGTAGATAGCAACCAGATTATCAGTTCTTTTTCTTCGTAGGCAGGTAGTTTTGTCATCAAATGTAAGGCAGTTTTGAAGAAGACCAAATCTCTTGTGTCACTGTTATTCTACCTCAAGCCCACACTCATTGCTTTTCCATGTCTTTTACATTTTTGCAATCACTCATGGAAAGCCCTAGTCAGCACAGCAGACCTATGAATGCTTTCAGTCCAGCTAGTGAGGTGCTATAATAAATATATTTTTGAGTATGAGTATTGGTGCATACAGAATATTTTACTTGTATTTCAGCATTTGTGTATTTCACAACATCTTGTAAAATTTCATCTGTTACAAACAATTTCCATCATTGAATGGCAGTGCTGTCATTCTGTCCAATAGGTTTCACCCCTGCCAAGATCCTCACTATATTTTCAGAGCTAGCTTCAATTTCAGACCTAATTGGATCATTCCTTTTGGTTGCATGGTCATTTTGTACCATTTCTACTAGTCAGATTTCTACTCACATTGCTGGGTTTTTTTGTCATTTGAATCAAGGAGGTCTGCATTCCCTGTGTCTGTATCAGTTGATTCTTGTTCCATTTCACTGTCACAGGAACTTTGGCTCACATGGCCAGTGTCAGTGTCATTATCATCTTCATCATCCATGCATGAATTATCTAATGATTCACTCTCAATCTTTTCTAAAACTTGCAAATCTGGTTTTTCATGTGCCATTGTACTGGACTGGGGTACTTCTACCAGCAAAATCAAAGAAAACTTTTAAAAAAATAAATGCACAAAAATTTAGCAATGAGTATTTCATAGGTAAAACTCACCTGTTTCTGCTTTGGATTTCCTGTACACACCTTGCCATTCATCTGCCAAGTGGTGAATGCACAAATGGGCTTTTGCTCTCCCTAGGTGCAGTGATTGTGAGTCATACCCATATTCCTTGTATGGAAAAATACATGTTTACACAGAACAGAAGGGTGGTATGGATGTATTTTACCCCCTCTGATGCTTAGGTAAATATAAGCAAGACCTGTTAGATGGAGTATTATGTGGGTAAAAACCCCAGGTTGACACTTTTGCACACATTCACACACCTTGCTGTTCATCATACTAAGTGGATAAACATGAAGATTGCTTCCTGTGTCCCCCAGGTATAGCTAATGAGACACAGCCAGCTACTATTATGCTAAAGTCAAAATTTACAGTACAAAGGTATGGGATGGATTGTTGTAACCCAGTGTTGTGTCCTGCAAATTTTAATGTAAAAAATAAATAAATAAATAAATAAATAAATAAATAAATAAAGTATGCTTTCTGTAGGCATCCAAATATATGGCATGAAGTTAATATTTTGCTTCTAATTCACATGAACAAAATGATGACAAAATCACCCGTTAGGAATCTCAGCAGTGTTTTAACAATTAGGCAGTCGCTTGCTATAGGGCTGATAGGGTCCCATCCCTAAGTCTCCACAAATAGGTCCAATGCAGCCTTTGCAGTTGTAGAAAATCTAGGAGGAAATTCAAGCAGTGAAGCAGGAGGGTGGATTCCTCCAGCAGTTACTGTGTTCCTCTTTCAAGAGAGAGGTGCGCACACCGGACCTTCAGTCAAACCCACCCTTCAAAGGACAGCTCAGCTTGTCTGCCCACGTGGCACCAGGCAACTTCCCTAAACAGGTGACCTGCCCACTCGTGCCCTTCCCTTGGCAATGCCTGTAGGGGTGTGTCAGCAAAAAGGTTTGTTTAAATGACTAAGTTCACAATATATGATGAACCATACCCACGTTGCAAAACTGTTAATTTAAGGATAAATATAGTTCCAGCAGGAAAAAAAACAGTACACAATTAAAACAACTCCATGGATCTGGTGTTCATACCTGTTCCTCCTCCACCAGCATAAACTGAAGTGTTTGTGGGAGTTTCTTCCCTGTTCTAGATGTTCCTTTCAATCCATCATCCTGGTTCTACCACGTATCTTCCACATGTAGGGTTGGGCCACGTACCCTGCCTTCCCAGCTGGTCCACAGCACACGTTATGACACTGTATCAGGACTGAAACAATGATAGCCAGTAAGTTTCAGTCCTTTTAACTACAAAGTCTTCACCTTCTACAATTCTGGACATCCCTGTTCTTTCTAATGGCCCAAGGGTTTTGATAGGGAAGCAATAGTTCTCCTTCTGTGGAAAGTTACTCGGTCAAGTGCTGTAGAAGAAAATCAGTGAAATAAGTTTTTCATTGTGCAAAAATGATGAACTTTCTACCCTTTCAACTGCTGAAGAAAGAGGTCAATCTACAGCTAGATGCCTCCACACCCCATACCCTTATTCTGAAGTTTTTATCCTGAAAGCTGTGTACGTCATACTATCGAGTGTTCTGTCAGTCAAAAAGAGGGATTTAAGATTTCCCACTTGCTTGATGTTTTCTTTTCTTAGTTCTGTAGTTCTCTTGGCATATGGAAATAAAAACCATTCCTACATTTGTACACTTACTTGCATCCTTACTCTTAACAATTCTCAGCATTCAATATTATCATTAACAGTTTCTACAAGATAACAATCCAGTTCTCTAGAAAATTCCTTGAGGACAGGGATGTTGCTTTATACTTTCTTTGGTTCTTCCATGCTCAGCAAAAATAGCTCTTAGTTTGATTTGAGATCACTTCATATCCACTTAACATTTGGTATGTAGCCAGTGCTGGCTAAGTGCTTGCAATAGGCCTACGCCTTTTTTATACATGATCTTGTTTAGCCTTCATGGCACCTTGGGAACTGTGGGCTATAGTATAATCTCAGCTTTACAGAAGAGACAACACTGTTTGCAATAAGTTAAGTGACTTGCCCAATCACTCAGCTAGAAGGATGCAAAACTGGATTAAGAACTTGCTCTCTGTTTTAGGGTGCAGTGTTATTTTCCCACCCCCACAGTTGTCATGCAGCAGTAGGTCTGGCCTTAAAGATGGGTTTCAAGACCTAAAGGCTGGCCTGATCCGGAGGAAGCCCTTGACTGGAGAAGTGCAAGCTCAGCTTCATGGATCAGCGCCTGGAGATCCCAACCCATGTCTGGCACCAGCGCAGCAGGTTTCCTGGTCTCTGGCTGCATTAGAATGCAGGTTACCGAAGTAGTTTCTGATGTAAAATATGTGCTCATTTCATAATTCCTCCCAGAATAGAGGGATAGAGGAGGTCGAGGTCTGGCTTTGTTACAGTGGAGTGGGCCCAAAATAGTCCAGGTTCTTGAGTACCTTGAGGCAAGAACTGCCAAGCATACACTCTGTAGTACGTAGCTAGGTTTATTGAAGATCACTGGGAAGGTAGCAGCAGAAACAGGGGAAAGGGAAAAGAGAAAAAAGGATCATGATAACTCAAGCTTTTAGAATTTAAAGGCCAGACACTTCAGATTTTTGGTGCCTCCTACTGAATTTCTAACTCACACCGGTGCTCTGTGGCCTAGGGCATGGCGATCCCTTAGGGTTTCGTGATTTTATTTTGTCTCTCTTTTAAGCAAACGGAAGCATAGGTAACCATTAAGGTGGTATTTATAGTTGAACATAGGAAAAGGAGTGACTCCTTCAGTGCCTTTGTTGGCTTGACAGAGACCTCTCACAAGGCCCATGCACCATCCTTTGAACAAGCAATGGGGTCACCCACATTATACAACCAGGCTTAAAAGGAATGGATGGGCCTGAGTCAGCAAGGACCCAGGTAACCCTCTCCTTCTCCTGCTGCCATATGAGCCCCATGACAGCTGAGATCTAGAATGTTTTGCTAACTGCTGTTCCCAGGGTCTTGAACTGTGCCTGGCAAATAGGCATTCAGTGGAAACACATCGAATGGATGATTGAATGGATAAGCAAAAGAACCAAGAGACTTGGGTTACCTCTCTGCACAAAATCCCACCTTTTTGTAAAAAAGCCTCTTCTCACCCCTCACCAGTCCTATATCCTTCTTTAATGCTCAGTTTCCTGGAAAAAAAAAGTCTCTACAGGATCTACAAGCAATGCCCTTATACTGGCACCTTCTTTCCAAAGGCAAGAAAAACTTGTCTATCAAGTTTCCCTTTGCTGCAGCAGAGGCAACTGTCTATGGCTTCAGAGCCCTGGCCCTGTTGCCAGCAGCCAGGCATTGCCACCTCATGCTGTGGCTCTGAGCTGGAAAGGCGGAGCCAGGCTTAGACATCCCAGCCTCAAGCTGCAGGTGACAGGAGCAGCCATGAGGCCAGGCACTGTGGACATCTGGTCCACCTGTCACAGCTCCCTGTGGACTCCAGCGACACCCTCATGTTCCTTCAAGGTCGTTTGTCCCCAGGGTGTCTGCAGTACTAGTGAGGGAGAGTCTCACAGGCTCCTAGACCAAACACAAGTTTCTTAACTTGGCAGAGCCTCAATTCGCTTATCTGCAGAATTAGAATAACAATAGTGTCTGCATCTTAGGATCACCATAAGAAATAAATAACAAAATGTATGTAAAGTCGTTGGCAGGGAGCGAGAGCTTCTTAAGCAATAGTGTAGGGAACTTGTAACTTTCCTCTTTTCCCTCTGAAATATTAGTGGATTTATGTTATGAAATAAACTGGCAATTGATTAATGGGGGAGTGTGTACACATTTATTAATGTACAAGCACAAGGCGTGAGAGTCAAAGGAGATGAAAAGACAGAGGCCTGGGCTGCTGGAGAAGGGAGCGGGTGTGGGCTGTACATGGCTGGTGGGGGGGTGCACAACCAGCAGGGGCTTCTGTCATGCAGATCAGCCACAGGACACAGCCACCTGTGGTAACCCCAATTCCTTCTTCCAGTGGGAAAAGCTTTCCTCTGCAAAAAGGGGAGTTCAGGTAGAAAAGCCTCTGCCTGTATCTGCCTTTTACTAGTGTGGACAGATGTAAGTTTCTCTGCCCTAAAGGATGGCTTTCCAGAGCCTCTCCTGTGTCCCCAGAGGTCTGCATTCTTCTGAACAACCAATTTGAAATATGTCAAAGAAATATATTTGGTGTAGGATATTGGACTTTCCCAGGTAGCTGCTGTTCCTCCTGCTTGATTTGATTTGTTCTTGTGCTTTTGTTGTAAACAAACACACACAACTTGCTAAATAAATGGAAAGAGCTCACGCACCATTAGTAATTTTTTCAGCAAGAATCATGTTGAGCTCTGCGCCAGGTGCGGATGGGACAGGGAAAGTTTGCAGAACACGAGGAGTGAGTCTTGGAGTTGTCTCAGCCTTCATTTATGCTGATCTCTCAGATGAATCACACACCCTCTGTTTGCCTACCTTCTTTGTAGTTTCCCAGACACAGCCAAATGTAACCTCCTCCAGGACGCTTCCTCTGGCTGGGCACATCCTGGGCTGGATCCCCAGTGAGCAGCAAGTAGGAAACTCATAAGGAAGGAAGAAGAACCCATGGAAGGAAGAAGAGGAGGACAGACTTGACAGAGAGAAGAGCTGAACAGGAGTAGGGTCCCAACACAGCCCTTGGCAAACCCACAGGTTTGTCCCAAGTGGAAAGGAGCTGGCCAGGCCTTTTTACCCCCAAGTGAGATGAATCACAGGATACAAGCTGTCTCTGGAAGGTGTGACCTTAGGTGAGGCAGTTTCCTCCACCAAAATAACCCCTGGGGAGGGCTGTCAGCCTGGGTGATCTGGAAGCACTCCCAGCAGCTGGGGCAATGATCTGTTCATTCAGCAGAGGGGATTTAGGTGGTGCTACAAAGCACCTCCCACACACTCTAGAGAGCTTTTATCATGAATAAGGACACATTAATCCTCCCTTGATGACCCCCTGTGCCTGCCTCTCAACTGATGTATTACACAGGTGGGAAAGCAAGGGAGAAAAGGAATTCATAGGATCTCTAAACATTCAACCTCAATGAAATCTGGGTGATTTAGTTTGGGGCGGTATGGGTGTGTGTGGAGAGTGTCTCTCCCATCCCAGAGCACCTGGTCCTTCCTTTATTACTAATCATTCCTGGCATCAAGGCTGGAAGTCAGTGCATGTAGTGGGATTTACAATAAACCAAATGACAGAATATGTGACCCAGGAATCAGGGAATAAGGTGGGGGGGGCACGGAGTTGTCTCCAGATTTCTGGACATGTTTTAAGACAATTATTGATGCATCTGGTGCTTTTCTTGAAGACAGAGCAAGGCAGGGTGATTTGAGCCACCCTGAAGAGAGCAGGAAGCTGTTTCCTTGTGCTGATGGCTGGACTCTGCACCATAAGCAGTGCGGCAGCCTAGTGTCATGAAGAGTGGCTGGTATCTCCAACAAGACTACACTTGAAACATATAGAGAGCCTTTGCTGGTCCTCAGCCTGGTTCAGGGAGTTTATATTTGTAATCTCATGAAGAGTTATTGGAATTCTAGCAAGTTAATTCCGATGTACCACTTCCAGTGCAACCTATGGCAAGAATAAAGACACTAAGGCATATTTGTGATTATGGGGAGCCAATGGGTCCTCAGTCCATCCGGAACAAAGGCCTCGACCCAAGGCCAAACCCGGGTTTTATTCATTCATGAAGAAGGGAGTGGCTTGAGGATGAGTGACTGTGAGAACCGTGGGAAGTAGGTTGGGTGCCATGAGCTGGGCTAGGTAGGAGGCCTGAAATCACCTCTGCCATATGCAGAGTGAAGGATATGCAGAAAGAGTAATCTGCATAACACAACTGAGATAGCATCTACTGTGCTTCAGCTCCGATGTGTAATCTTTGATGTATAATCTTTGAAGCCTCAGGAAGTCATAGCCTCTATCCCAAGGCTCCATCCCAGCCTACAGACAGTGTGGAGCATTGGCTCACTCATCCCACCTCATATCGGCTCACTGGAGGGAGCAAGGGGGGGGAGTCCAGATTACCATCAGCGCTTTGGCTAGACCGATATGCACTGCTTAAAGCCAATTGAAGGGATAAGGAAAGGGTCCCAGCCAGCTCTGTACATATCAATACATGGAAATAGGGTTAGGCTCAGCCAAAATGAATGTAACTCTTCCTGTTGCAAGGAGAGTCACTTAGATGGTCCTCCACAGAGAAGCACTGAGCTTAAGTGGCCATTTAAATGAATTCTGG